AGTCCCTTTTTTAAAAATGGTATAAGTTCTTGACGTTACGCGGTGCCACTAACGGTCCTAATTTTTTCGTCTTTAAACTTCGTTAAATAAAGCTCCCCCCCCCCCCCCCCCCCCCCCCTTTTTTTTTTTTTTTTTTTTTTTTTTCTAACCCTACTGTAATGTTGGTGTTGGTGCAGCTACATGGCAAGGTCATTATTCAAATGTAGATAGATTTGGAAATACATTCCAGCAATGGAATTAACATGTACCAGCGAGAGAGAGAATGCATATCGAGAAGATATATGTAAATCAGAAGTTTTGATTGATGTTTTTGTTTTTCCGTAAGCTTTGACGAATACTATGAAGCCGGTAGGACAAGCCTCATTCCCACGAAAGTATGACACAGAACCGCTTAGAGCAGTAGGCGACCTCCAAACACCAATGTTACACCGAACACGAGCTCACCAGGAGGAACCAACCAATACTATGAAACGACACCCCCTTTAGGACGATATAGATCTGTGCCTGATTAGATATTATCCCCCTACAGGCCGTCGACTCTGCGGGCTGAGTGAGGTTATGATTGGCTAAGGTAAGGACTAGGTACACCTCAGTATCTTAGCACCTCATCTCAATTTTAGAGGATCTATATAAACTATAAGGGTTATTGCTTGAAGTGCTGCGGGGATCGACATGTTAATACTTCACCAGGGAGTGTGGCGCAGATGGCTAGAATATCAACTATATCCTACTCAGGAAATGTTATATTACCTCCTTGACATAAGATATATTGAAAGTACCCTGAGTAATATACATAATAGCTGACTACGTCGATATCTGGACTGCCTTGCTGAAAATAATTCAATATATTGACAGCCTGCCCTCATCAGTAGCATCATGAGTCTCAAGAAAAGAACTTCAATGTTATCTACTAATTTTAGATTCCAGAGTCCTCTTGTTCAATGCTCCTTGATGTCTGGAATGAAGACCAGGTTGAACAGGTGTCTGCGAGTGCATCCGTGTCGGTTATACCCGCAATTTCGTCATACCTCTCCACGAATTGCAGTGCAAACCCCTGGCTCGTATGCCAACCAATATGACACTATATCCCATATTAGATAAAGTGAAGAAACGAAGAAACAAATTGGATACTTACATGCATAAGCCAAACTCCAGGGTTATCAGTCTCGAATGCCAGCACGATATAACCACTGGCGGGTAATATGGCAGTATCCCGGCGGGGTGGGTTATTCGTGTTGAGAGGGACACTGCTGGAATATGAACCTGTCTCCTGAGCGAGCACAAAAAAGTCGTGGCCGTGAAGATGAATTCTAAAGGTATAATTAGTGTGAGCTCTTTCTTGATATGTGATAGGGCTTGCGGCTCCAATGTATAAAATAGGCTGGTACTGAATGATACCCGGAGGAGATTGAGCATATTAAGTTACTTACGGGTGGGGAACAGGTAGGTCTGTCTCGATCGCCAAATATACCCACACGTTTGCATCGGGCAACTCAAGGACAGAGTCGTCGACTTCAAAAGTGGTCTCGCCATTTATAACCTGTAAAATGGTAGGGTTTGTCCAGTCAACCAGCATCGATGTGCTGTTCAGAGTCCATCTAAAAAGCCCATTGATGATGCCAATATCTGCGACTTCGTTTGTAACAGACGCAGTACTGCCTACCGTTTTGCTATGATAAGGAACAATGTTTTGAGTCTCATCTATACAAGAATCGACATATTCATATCCAGTAGTCTCCGGTGTTGAGACGGTATCTGTGTAAGATACAATGCCACGGATGTTGTCTTCGCTTTCGTTTTCAGAGCAAGCCGATTGGGGAATAGCTCGGATCCAGAAATTATCAGCAGTCGAAGCCCTGCGATTCTCCGGGTTAGTTTACCATATATTCTAGGAAATCAGCTGGTTTGTTAGAAGACACTCACTGGTCGGCAGTAACGATGATATCATGACGTTGTCCTTTAAGTGGTTAGCATTAAACTAGATTGATAGTTATCGTTAACGGCTTACCAATGCCAATATTAATGACAGTTGCTTCGTATGGCTGAATTGGCACAAGATCAGTCGCTATGACTTGCATTGTGTGGTTATCAATAGTGAATTTAAAGTGCGTGTCGATAGCTCCGTTGATGAGTCTGATTCGATAGGAGGTCCCTGAAGTGAAAGAAGTTTGAAATCTTGAACCGCCGTCATTGTAAACGTTGGTGCCATTGATAAGTCCATTTTCCATCTTAGGGGGGCCGGTTGTCTGTGTTTGGGTCCAGAGTTGATCCACCGTTGCGTGACTCCAATCTGATAGGAATATGGTCCCGAGATCCTCATCATAGTTAGCAGTGGCTGGGCCATTGATGATTATGGTTCCCGCAACGCCTTCCCACGCTTGAAGCGCAAAGTGCGAATGGTACCAAGTCGTTCCATATTGGGTTGCCCTCCAGGTATACGTCCGAGTTTCCCCAGGTACAGTTGGACATTGAGTAATAGAAACGACTCCATCGTTATCATTCGTATAATTCTGACGTATACCGTGCCAGTGAATAGCTGTTTTGAAGAATTAGCCACCGGAAGCTTTTCAGTTATAAGAGACAAGTATCCAGAAAGGTTACTAAAAATCTAACAGTTTAAGAAAAAGGAACAGAAGCGAGACAACAAGTCTCAGGGGAAAGGCCCAAAATAAATTTGCAGTCAAGATAGTATATATCTTTATGCCTAAGCTTGTACTCACATGTTCCATTGTTAGAGGTAGTTAGAGAATTCGTAACGTGAACTACAACTGTATCACCCCAGTCCGCATAGAGAGTTGGTCCTGGAATTGAGCCCTAAGATACGAAGTAAGTTACTAACTCGGTTTAAAATAATCAAGAGTAAAATGGTGAAACCAGAGCTGTAAGCCCCAATTATTGACTTACATTAATAGCCATCGCCGGGCGAGAAACTCCATCAGGTGAGACAGTCACATCAGTGATATCCAGCCAATACTCTTTAGTTACTCCAGTATCAGGCACCTCAGTGGTATAATCAGTGTCGATGGAGTAATCACACCACTCATTTCTGGTTGTTGCTGTGTTTCCTGAGCATGCTGCCCGAGGATACAAATTCGTGGAAGGTGAAAAGGGGGACGCTGCAACTATGCCGCACAGAAATGGCAACAAGAGAGTTGATATTTTCGAAGCAGCCATATTGCAAAGAGCTCCGATATAGTTCAATATAAGTTTGGGTGAAATAAGAAAGACAGTTGTAGGGCTAAGCTAGGTTCCTGATAGGTAGGCAAGCTTTGAAGTTGAAGAAGCACAATGAACGACTGTGATATTTCTATAACTTCTATTCATCATGAGCGCAGCTGAGGCAGTCTTTATGTCCACGATAGCTTCTCCTAAGTCTCACTTGCCGGCTGAAGGAATCGGCACCATGAGAACCCGAACCGTGAGGATCCAGTATACTGTAGCACTGCGTTACAATATTGAATGGCTACACGACCAACAATCAGACCACATATCCACCCCCTTAAGATTAAACTATAGTCAGCCTTGACGACCTCAGTGCGTGTCATGAGTCGAAGATATTCTCGTATTGCAGTCGTACGCGTAACGAAATATTCAGAATTCCGCGAGTTGTGTGGAGCTTGTGGCTTGAATGTGATGAGCCGGCGTCTCACTCCCCGGGAATTGGTCCGAAGTCGTCGTCGACAAACATCCTTTGGAAACATGACATGAATCTAGATCTCCTTAATAGAGTATCGTTAAGCGATCCACAGCTACCTATATTGGGCGTATCTAATGGTTCGTTTCAAGGCACCATCTCGTCGCCCTGCGCCCTATCGTCGTAATTATCAGCTGTGGAGATTACGATATCTTTTGTAAGCCCTGCGATGCGTAGCTGATTTTATCGATAAAAGGAGTTATATAATGCATTTAAAATCAAGAGTGGCAGTATCAGGTATAATATTAGTATGATATTAGCAATACTATCATGTGCCGAAAGAAAGAGTGGCATTGAAGCTATCAAGATAATTGCGCTTTAAAGCTTACGCGTTGCTGCATGGGCACCCTGCGAGGTTCCCGCCCGCCGCGTCCTTCCGCCTCCCGCCCGGCCCACAATCCGAATATAGAGGCCAAGACCCGAGCGAACAACTCTATCTTTAGACAAGCCGTCCGTTTTGAAGGAAGAGCTGACGAATCTATAATCGGGGTCAATAAAGCATCGAGGATATGAAAAGGGACCATCTCCATCAAAAGTTCAGCAAGCAGACGTAGCTTAGGTAGTTAACCTTCTCTAAGTAACAGCCATATTTTCAATCATCTTGTTCAAGTCTTGCCGTTTCTCGCAAGACACTACCTACTACACTAGCGATGCACGTATTGCAGAGCCTCATTCTTGGCATCCCAGTGGTTGTAGCTGGGTCACCAATGCTTATAGAACGTTCTCCTACATCACCTTTTGCATTGTTCGCTTACGGCGATGGAATCGGCGGCGCACCTGTGTTCACAGACGGCGGTATGCTATTTTCCATGCCTGTTGGAATATAATAATTTTAACCTCTATAATAGAAAGCGCCTACATCGGGCGGGCAACTCGCTTAAACGACAGCGAAGCCGCTCAGGTTCAGTGTAAGCCGTACAGACAACCTCTCGTATATGCAGCTATGTTAACTCGCAGGCAGTTATTGGCGGTACAGACAATTCGCTGCTGGCCAGTCCCAACACCACCGCCGGCAATGCACCAACCTGGTCGAATCTCACGTTCATGGTCCCGGACATGACATCTTCCTCCCATCAGGTCGGATTCGCTAATTCGACCATTAGTGGCGGTGGGTCAGCATCCGAGTTCGTATTTTATGGGGACTTCCTACTGCACAAGAACACCGACGGGGATATCAACGGATTGTGGTACGCTGTGCCCTCTGATGAAGACCGTATTTGGACTTTGAACTGGAACTCGACCGACGATGATACCGAAGAGAAAGTGCTTGTCACCCTGAAGGCTACACCACCATCGAGGACAATGGATAAGAATATTTAGGCTTAACATACATACGTTGAACCATTTCCATTCTCATTAGCAGTTGCCGACCATCTACCTCCTGGGTTAGACTAGTAATCGCAAGTCGCCTGCTGGTGGGACACTACTCTACCGGCATTTCGTCTCTCTTTAACATATTTTTGCTGGCTCGAGAGGATTGTAATTAGCTTATGGTTTGGAAAGACACCTAGAATGATTAACTTCAATACTACAAGCTACATTGTCACTATCACCGTTCAGTCCTGCACAAGTACATCCCTTTAAATCTAAATTAATTATTGTCTCATCTCCTCGGTATTGCATTTTATACTTCATAGTAAGATCTAGTTGTGATGTTTGTGATAATTATGAGAGGTATCAAATCCGAATAACAAAGTCCGCAGTGGAATAATATAAAACTTTACCTTGGTGATATTTCAGGGGGTTCTTGACCCCTTTAACAGCTACCTAGAATAACCAGGCAACGAGGAGAAATATACGAGCTTACACTTGCCAAAGTGGCACATACACTGCAACATTAAGATTAAATTACGATCATAGAATTCGTCGTATTTTTGAGTCGTCGGTCCCGACTTGCTTGTAGCACGTATATCACGCCAATCGGGACCGTTGGAGCTGAGTTCAAGATAGGCAATTGCACACGAACATAGAACGACGTTGTTTTCATACCGGATATCGGAGATAGAGTGTAAACGAGCTAATAGAGGCGTTATCTGGCTTGAGTTTTCGAAATCGTAAATTATTCGTAAGCGCCATGCATCACTTGGCGCATGGTAAGCAGAGGCAAGATTCAGGTGGCCAACCATCACCAACCTATTTTCAAAAATGAAACCATTCGCAGTCGCCTATTTTCGTGCTACTTAACTAGAAAGCGTGGCCTAGCTGTGAATGAAAGAGAGATGAACACACTTAGGACTTTGGGGATTGTTTTGTGCAAGCCCCTGAACAGACAATTTCCGACATCTTATACTCCAATATCACATCGAGTAGCATATCGGGCAGCTTTAAGCCACGAGCTGAGGAAATATCTCGCAGTTAAACCCAAATCCCGTCCGAAAAATCTCAATTTCCGGTGTTCTATTCCCTCGCGCAGCCAAGCAGCAAATATGACCACTCGGTCGCGTGGTCGGGTCCCTATTGAAACCCAACGTGTCGACGCTCCCCTCACCCAGACTGCTACCTTCTTGGTAGTTACCATTAATAACACGCTGGAAGCTGTTGGTGTGGTGCGCTCGGTTCTATCTAACATCGATGGACTAGCTAAAAATGTCTCTATTCGAGACCTAAGCGCCGCATTTGCCTGTACAGTGGGCATTGGCAGCGAAGCGTGGGACTCGTTGACCCAATTACCCCGGCCAACAGAGCTCCATCCATTTCCTACTATACATGGGAAGAAACATACCGCCGTCTCAACACCTGGGGACTTGTTATTCCATATCCGCTCGGAGCGACGGGATTTATGTTTCGAATTCGAACGACAACTACTGGATGCCCTTGGCGATGCCGTTACTGTCGTGGACGAGACGATTGGCTTTCGTTATTTCGATGTCCGCGATCTCCTCGGATTTGTAGACGGCACGGCAAACCCTGTGGGATCGGCCGTCCCGGCTTCTATCCTTGTGAGTGAAGAGGACGCATCTAGTGCAGGTGGGAGTTATATTGTGGTCCAGAAGTATTTGCATGACGTGAAAGCGTGGAACGCCCTCCCTACTGAGCAGCAGGAGAGCATTATTGGGCGGAAGAAGCTAGATAACATCGAGCTAGATGACGCCGCAGCAGGTCAGCAACAGTCGCACAAGTCACTAGCCACTGTTGAAGACGAAAGCGGTAATGAGCACGATATCCTCCGGGATAATATGCCATTTGGGTCTCCTGGCTCAAAAGAATTTGGAACATACTTTATTGGATACTCAAGGAATCTATGGGTTATTGAACGGATGTTACAGCGTATGTTTATTGGTGATCCGCCTGGTTTACATGATAGGCTACTTGAGTTCTCTACTCCTCTAACAGGCACCACATTCTTTGCGCCATCCTCTGATTTCTTAAAAAGGCTGGACGGCGAGAGAAACTAGTTTCTGACACAATTATGATTGACGTCGTTTCTATAGCCACTCTTGGCTTCAATGTACGTAGCGATTTAACCGTACGTAACACGTATTGGGTGAAAATAGACATTTATCAGAATTGCCTAGTCAATAGGACACCCTTTTGATAATATTTTCCTGTCATATATGTTAGGTACCTCCTAAGACTTCATATCCTGAATTAATATAGTTGCAGCGAAAATTGGTGTTCAGCTGGCAGTAAGATCTAAGCCACCGTATAAGCATATGCACATGTATCCAGTGGTTATGCTGCCTCGGGGTTTTCGAGGCAATATAAGTTTTAAGAAAGTAGTGACAACTATTAGTTAAATTGTGATATTGACTATCTCAAACTCATCCGGTGGTCGGGTCTAGCAAAATCGTTCGACATGTCTACCTTAACACCTCCTCACGAGGGGCCATATTCATACAGACTTAGCCACGACCGCTTTAGGTTCATCATCCTCAATCAACGATATTGGCAGTCGCCTTTCCGATGCCAACTGATATCGGAGAAATTGGGCACTGCATTAGTATACCAAGCATTGTCTTATGCTTGGGGCTCTCCATCTGTAATCAGACCTATCGTTGTCAACAACATAAACATGGTGATTGCAATAAACCTCCACACGGCATTGGAACACCTTAGACTAGGAAATGCTGATACCGTGCTCTGGGTTGATGCTTTTGTACGCACCCTAAACACCGAGACATAAAATATCTAGTTAAAGGATCATAGCTAATGCACTTCATCTACCTTCTACCTAGTGTATTGATCAGGCGGATCTTGGTGAAAGAGAGACTCAAGTTCAGGTCATGCGACAGATCTATAATTGTGCTAGCAATGTAATTGTGTTTCTTGATAATGGGAGAACCCATTCGTCTGACCGTTTTCGGGTGTCAAAGCCGCAGGAGTTTATATTCCGCAACGACGCACACGATAGGCAATACGTTGCCCGGTTTCTCTATTCTTGCAGTGCTATGGTTCTTGTAGTGCTATGCATATTATGTATATTAATAACCTATTCAAAGGTTTCGGCGTCTTTTACCTCGTTAGCTTGTTTGCCCAACAAGAAAATCAACACATACGGGCATTTCCATCCCTCAAAAACAGGGTATTGCAGGCAATATTTGAAGATCTTCGGATGATGCCATTGGGTAGATGGTGGAACCGCATGTGGGTTTTCCAAGAGGTTAGTTATCTTCTACTTAATTTTTCTGTTAGTCTTAGGACAAGTATACTTCCATTTTGCCCAAATCATTATTATGTACCTTAGCAGCTACACACTGACCTTCAATTCATAACTCACAGGTCATAATATCAAAAAGGGCTCTTATCTAAAATAGCTGTTCAGTGGCTCTATTAGAGCTATTCATTCGTGCAGCTCGGAGCATTCAAGATTTGCATATGCACTTATTGGTCTTGTACCTGTCAGCCTCGGCATCTCCCCCAATTGTCGTGTGGCAACCCCTTGGGTTTATACTCAGGTCGTTCAAAACATTATAGCAGCAGCTAGAAGCCTTGACGTACTTTGCGGAGACCTTGGTCGAAAAACAGGGGGGGGATCTCCCGTCTTGGATACCTGATTGGAGCGCCATTAGCCACAACGAAGAAATTCGCCGCATGAAAGTCGCTACGAAGTTGTATAATGCTTGTGGAGACTATAAGTTTGGCTGTTATATTTCTTTGGAGTCTTTTTGGGACATGGTCTGCGATGATGTTGCCTATAAGGAATGGGGTGCGTGAAATCTTTGATCAACTTGGTTTACGCTCTTGGCATTCTCCCACAAGCAAAGATGAGATAGATAAGAGACCTGTCGATGAAAAGACTACCTATAAACCGCAGTTTAGTCGCTTAGGAATTACCAGAGCTCTCATTAGCTGTATAAGATACTATAACGACCAGTTTCTTGACCTCACAGATGTGAGGCGACTCACGTCAATCTCAACACAATGGTCTAACGACTCAAATAGGTCTTATAAAAGTGAAAAATACATCATCACTCAACTTGATACAAACAGGCTGAGATCCTTGGTTTACGATTTGAAGTTAGTTTTGGGGGAGTTTAAAAGGCTCGAGGACGGAGACGAAAGGCATTCACAGATGTGGTTTGACGCCAAGACATCATCGGATAACCAAGTCTATTAAGATATCCCAGGTTTCGATTATGTACTGAAATTCATGTCCACTAGACGACATTTATTCGTGACTGCCGATGATACTTCAGGATGGGGTCCTGATGGCTTGAAAACTGATGATGTGGTATGTGTTCTGCCTGGTGGTAAGACCCCTCACGTACTTCGAAAGACCGCTTCGGCGAGATGGGACATGAAAATGGAAAGGCTAATGGAAATGGAAAAGAAAAAGGAATGGTATGTGGAAGTGGATATGGAAACGATTGGCGATTGCTATCTTCAAGATGCTATGGATGGGAAATATATGAATCCTTCAAATATGACTGACTACCTAAGCAACTAGAATCATTCAGGAGGACCGCAGATGCGGATTCGCTAATATCAAACATCTGTTTGGACAAGAATTCAACGATATTGTAAGCAAATATGCACTCGATATTCGTGAGCGTTTAGAAAGATGAATATCTGATACTTTAAAGATTTACGCGGGCTACGATTCTACAAGCGGTAAAAGATTGAAGCTGAATTGCCTTGTTTTTCTGGTGTATCCAGTGTAACTAACAGGTGCAAAAACATTAGGCTAGATACCTCTTACAGCTCTCAAAGGTGTTTGCCATGCGACTTTCTAGGGCACCTTAGGCCGGCTCTTTCATTAGGTAACCCTGATCATTTGCAATGATGAATGCGTTATTTTAGGCATGATAATCATTGATATCTTTATAAGGTACCTATAGGTATCTATTGTACACAGTTATTCAGGTTAAAGTTGTAAACATATACCCACGACCTCCTTCTCCATCGGCTCCATTCGCTATGCTAATATAACCCATTTCTTACTAATTTCTTCAAGCTTTAAGCTTCTAAAACATGTCCTTAAAGTGTTCATATACCCTACTACCTATCTCATAAGGCAGTGTAACGCCCCCGTTAACAGGGGGCGGTCCAGCCGGGGTCGGCAGGCCGGTCGGGTTAGTACTCTTCCCCATATACCCTTCGAATATTCGTGACATCTCGCTTGAGATTTGGTGCCCGTTTTGTACGCCGCCGAACGATGAGGACACCCCTAATACGGGCGAGGGTTGTGAACCATAGCCGGAAGCTAAAGTTGGAGGGGCTCCCATCTGACCGGTAGCTAGGCCGGCCATCGTCAGAGCCGCCGTAGAGTGAGGATCCTGCGCCAACCCGAGATGAGGAGCAACTTCTCGAAGCGACTTAATAGTGCTCCAAAGCCGTTGCGACACCCATGATTTGGATGATAAGTCCTTTACTAGCTCGAGAGCCATATAAAACTCGTTGCGACACGAGGCGCTGAAGTTAACTGGGGCGTGGCACGATGCTAGGAAGAGTACCGCAATTGCTGCTAACAGAAATTGATGGTAGAAGACCTGGATCTTCCTATAGATATTCGTAGTATTGTTCAAGTGCGTCAAGTAGCATATTGTATTTTTGGCTAACTTGACGGCACGCTCGGCGAATTCTATATTCTCCATGATGCTGCCTTGAGTGTGCAAAATAGGAGTATATAGCCATGTACGAATCTGATTAAAGCGGAGGTAGGTCCATATCTGTAACCGCTGGATATCATATTCCTTCTGTGAGTTTACTGGAGGATTTAGATATCTAGGCAGTGCTTCCCAGTCGGTTAATTCAAGCTGTGTTTCTCGGGGCACTTCGGTATACCATTCCTTTATTCGACGATCAAGTTCCTCGATAGCACCTGGTTGTACGTCTGATTCTGTGCTAGGCTCAAAACTTCGCACGAGTCGCCATACGCTTGCGCTGAGCTTTGAGTAGTTAATCATGGCGACTAGATAAGGATGCGAATCCTTTAGAGCAAGGTTAGAACCGATCAATTCCTCAACGTTAAACAAGGCGAGAAGGTGTCTGCTTTACTATGCTCGGCATGATAAATCAACTACTTACAGGGTACGGTAACCGAGGGTCGATTTCGTCGTCCGGGACGGTAAATGGTAAGCCAGTACCGAAAGCCCATCGATGGTCCAATACATAGGCTGCCCAAAACGTGTTGATTGCGTTATTGCGTTCCTCTTCATCGCCAATTCGTTCGATCGCATCACGACGATGAAGCCCAAGTTCGAAACATAGACGAGCTACCTGTCCCATGGTACGCCATGCGAGGATTTCGTCATTAGCGAGAAAATAATAACCCGCCTAGTTATGCAAAATATTAGTCTCTGGCAACGCCGCGAGTTGGTAAGATCCCTTATCTATATTCGAATAGGGACACTGCAACGATGATAGTTTAAGTATGAAGGTAGGCAAGACATACCACAAGAGCTAGTATTGGCATGTTCTTCACATCACTCGGATCAGACATTAACATTCTGTCCGTCGTCGGTCGAGCGCTGAGAAAGAGCCTATGGGCTTTCTCGCTATTTCCGTGCTCCTCAACCTGCATGGCACAGCAGACGACGAGCTTGAGCAGTAAGGTATTGCGATCTTTGATACCCCCCTCCTCTCCAGACCAAGGGACCATGAAATTATTCCTAGCCGCCTCCATCCACGAAGATAGAGTCCGCGCATGACGGATGACTGACTCGATTTTAACCACAGGATACATGATGCCAACCTCCTCATCATGCACGCGGCATAATCGCACCAATTCATCCTTATCAAACTCCCACAACGGATCCCGAGATGGGCCTCCAAGAGTACTAACCACCTGAGCCGTTAAGTTTGGAGACGGCGCGGGACTATCTTGACCGAGGCCATCGAACTCGCCAACATCGGGTGAATTGCTATAACCCATCTTGTGCAACGTATTCTTAGCAACATCTAGGTTGAATCGCGTGCTCGTCGGTCCGCGGAAGCCGGGCTGTCGAGTTTGAGGCAAGTCGGATGGTTTGTGAATAGGCGTGATGGAAGGGATCGAAGAAGCCGAAGGTGTACTCGAAGCGGATGGCAAAGTCGGCGCTCGATCTTGAATAGGGGCTAAGCGGAACGCCTCTGATCTAAGGGCGTTCATGTTCGCGAATAGCGCGTCGACCTGCTCTTGTAGTTGGTTGACCTTGTTGGTCATCTGCTTGAACTCATCTGAGTCTTTAAACGAATTTGAGCAGCAATTGGGTGCGTATAGGCATTGGAGGTTGAGATTTCCGCATCTTTGGCATGGTGTCTCGCCATTGCACTTGATCTTTCTTCGCTTGCACTCGTTGCTGGATAAGCGTAGACTTGGTCAACGCAAGAATCCCCGAATTTACGTCGCGTGCCGTTATGTAGCCCACGCGCTTGAAGACGAAAGGACTGACAAGACTCACCAAGCGATAGAGATATATCTATTTCTCTTGCTCCTCTGCTGTGCCTGACCTTTCGAACCAGGCGATTCATCTATGCTGTTCTTCCTCTTAGCACCGGTGGTGGTTGTAACGCTGCTGCTACTGTTGTGTTGTTGAGAGCCGGGGGACACCGGGGGCGCCGAAGCAGGGGTCTCGCCCAGAGTAGTCAAGTATCGCACCTCGCCGACTTGATTCTCGAAGAATTCCATGATGCCATCCCTCCGTGTCGCCCTTCGCTCTGATGTTAATGATGCCGCTGCTACCGCTCACTAATGCTAGCATCGTGTTCTAGTGTAGTGTTGAAACAAGGAGGGTGAAGGCGAAGGCAAAAAGACGATTGATCGCAACAAAACTATCTGCCCCACTGCTATTGAAAGGATCGGGGACTTTACCAGGCTAGTTCCTATTATGGATCTGCTAACCAGGGACAATGCTTCTGTTACGGGGGGGTTGCCTCATACCTAGGTTAGGTAGGTAGGTATGCTTTCAAAGACTCTAAGCTACGCGTTATTATTGGTCTTTGCATCGAAAATGCCTCGGTCTAATTTAGGTTGTCAATGGAACCCGTAGTTGACCTGAATAAGAGTTGATTATTTTAACTGTAGCATACTAACTTACATATATCCCCTAAATTGATATTCAGTTTACGCGTGTTAGTGGCTACGACCGGATACATCGAACCGAGCCTTTTAGCGGCAGTAAATGTTAGGTACCTCCTAAATATGTTACTATCGCGCATGTCCTAGCTAGCGTCGCGATGACGACTGTTCCAAGAGCTGGTGCTACTATAGTAATGAGCTAGGTTAGGTTAATCTATATCTAATGCTAGCATAGTAGGTTTACCTCTTGGTGTGTCATATCTTGATACTAGACATATATGGAGATGTTTACCATGAACCTCTAGAGCATGTATTAAAACTTGAATTAGGTACATGTCTCAAGCTTACAAGGTGAGCTTACAAGGTGAACCCCCGACCAAACGGTTCCCCGGAGCTTTATATCCTAGACCGCATACATAGACTATCGTTTCATGCGATCGGCAGATATTAGCCAGTGTCTTTATATTGACTACCTAACGTACTCATCAAGGCGAATAGATAAATCATTCATGTTTTGTCAAGTTACGATGTGGGGGAACGTAATTTCACCCACACACGATGAATCTAACACGACCCTTCAAAGATAAGAAAAGAAAAGCATGTCGGGGCGGTGGGCCCTATAGTTGCGTGGCTGGAATAGCTGATAGTATGTATGTCGTGCCAACGACACCTATATTGGATCATTATATTGGACAATATATTGTTGTTGGCTCCGTATAAAAAAGCTGAGGGGTAGGTACTTCCATGAACAAATGCCACAAGGAGAACAGGCATTTCGAGAGTAAGTGGAGTACAGAATGCTTACAAACATCGTGTCTAACCACATCACCCCTGACAAAATAAAGGAAGAATTTCCTGCTCCCTGTATTATCCAAGAACCCGACGATGTGGAATAGCAACCTGACTGGTCTTCGAGAAGATAGGTCCTTTTTCGTAAGCACCTTGGACCACACTTGTGGGTATGATACCCTTGTAAAGCTCTCGGCTTATTGCGGCTGATCGAAGCCCCAAATCTACCAATTGCCCTGCGCCAACAAGACTTACGTCCTTAGCACCACAGAGGCGGTCTTGGTGTAATACAAATCCAAGTACATAGCCTGAATGAAGGCCGCCATGATAATGTCACTCATCAATGGGTGGTGGTTTCCCGCTCACTAGTCGCTGTGCGAAGGCGAGACTGTCTTCACGATTTACTGGACTCCTTAGATAATAGGGAATTTAAGAGATGCTGTGCGACGTCTGCCGTGAAGGTCTCGAAGGTATATGGGATCCCGAGAACAACAGGAGGCTCGGGTTACTCAAATACTTTCCCGACATATTGGAATTCCTCTTCCGAGAGGTTGAAGATGGAAATTACGACGAGGTATTAAGTGAGTACGATGGGAAAAGGACCTACGAGTTGAGATCAATCAAGTCAATCGAGCTGGGAAGTGCCTTTAGAAAGTGTTTTTATTTTGCTAACTGCTCACAAGGCAAGCTAAAACTGCAAGAGGAAGAACGATATGTTTTCGGCCACCATGTAAACTATGACTCATTGGTAAAGTCTAAGAAGCTAGGCTGTGTCGTTTGTAATGTCTTCGACGAGTCCAACGATCATGACGATATCAATGCGACCTTTGCGGAACGAGGTTACTATTCGGTATTCCAAGTGACCTTGCCGCGAAGCGATATGCCTAACCCAGTAATGGTCATTTACACAGGCGAAATAGTTCAAGAAATCCCACATACAATGATTGCACACGATGGTATGAATTCCTACGCCAAATTCCAATGCATATGCTAAATATACATATGACTATAAAGAAAACGACCATATCAACTCCGCGATCTCACATTCTACATCAGACTCTCCAACGTGGGTTGTTATACATAGTTGGGTAGATAGATGTCTTGAAACTCATAAGTCGTGCATTCGTCAAGCCTCGGAACTCTTCGCGCCAACTCGTCTACTTGAGCTACAGTACGTAGGGACTGAAAAGAAATTTCGTCTCGTCCTACAGAGCGAATTCGACCCCCGCGAAAAATATATTACTTTAAGTCATTGTTGGGGACCTAAGACCACTATTGAGAAGCTACAACTCACAAAGTCGACCCTAGAAACCCTTCGCAATGGTCTACCCGTAGCCATTCTACCCAAAACGTTTCGCGATGCATTTGAGATAATTGAGCGTTTGAAAGTCCGGTACTTGTGGATTGATAGGTTATGCATAGTTCAGGATTCCGTAGAGGATTGGCAGGCGGAAGCATCTATCATGGGACCTGTCTACACTCATGGCCTATTAAATATCGCAGCGCTAGGTGCTACAGACGACCAGACTGGATGTTTTTTTGATCGTGACCCAGCATTGGTTTCCCCTACAATCATTAATCTCAGTCCCCCCGGAGATAGTGTTGCAGCGTTTTATCGTTTTGAGGCCGAGGAAGAAGCATGGAAAAGAGACTTTGAGGGGCAGCCGCTCCTCTCACGTGCATGGGTCTTGCAAGAAAGAATTCTTTCTACTCGGAACCTCTATTTTGGAAGCAAACAAGTCTTCTGGGAGTGTCTCGAATCATACTGCTCTGAGACAGTCCCGAACACCACGCTAGGCGAATGGGATTCATCACGTTCATCTATACATAGCCTAGGGCCCGATGATCATATGTGGAAGTCTCTTTTACACCCTAAGAGTAATGGATCAATAATTCCGAAAACAGATTGGCCACATACGGTACAGATCTATTCTCAATGCAACTTAACGTTCCCCAGCGACAAACTGGTCGCTCTCTCAGGGTTGGCAAAGCGAATGGGTAGCGTAATGAGGAAACAGTTTGGTTCTGAGAGCGATGTTTATCTGGCCGGCCTATGGAAGCATATGATGCCTATGGCCCTACTCTGGAGACCTAAGGTAAAGGCATGCCGTGTATCGCCATATAGAGCGCCTTCATGGTCATGGGCATCCCTTGATGGGGAAGTTTCCTGCTCCCCATCATGCCATATACGGTGGCACGCCGATGTCCTCGGGGCGAAAATAACCCCTCACGCGGATGACTTGGCTGGGAAAGTAATCAGCGGCACCATCACCTTACGTGGCCATATATGTACTGCAAGGAATATGAGGTTGCATAAAGAAAGTCCTGTTGATTACGATATCTATGTAATTGGTTCCCTTCACCACCCAAATACCGACAGTATCCTAGAGTTTGGGGATTCGAAAGGGGGTTACTTACAATTTGACACCACGGATGACTTCCGCGAGACAGTGGTCATTTTGATGCTAGGCTTTGATATCAGCAAAGCATACTCCTTCGTAACAGCACATGGTCTGGCCTTGGTCTTCGCCGATGAGTCACGGACTACATACCGTCGGGTTGGGTGCGCAAGTTTGAAAGAGACAGTCGACTTCGAAGATTTCAAAGATTCTGATATCGAAAAAGTTATATATAGCGAGTTGCCGCTGGAAACTATTAAAATTATTTAAAAGATTTTTCATACGTCAGATACAATAGATCAGGTTGACGAGTAGTAGCTTCAACTTAAAACTTGAGCTACCATTCCGAATGGAAGTATGGCAGGTTTGTGATCTGCATTGACAGGGTTATACAACAGACAATAATATCCAAGATGATCCAAGCTATCTATCAAAATAATCCATGAGCCTGCTGATGCATCGGATACTGAGCGGATATGCGTAGGTGAGCTATCATTCGGCGTGCTTGTTCTTCTTCTTCTTACTGCCACCAGAACTTGATACTCCCGGTGTGGAAGAGAGGTGGATATACAACCGTTCCCATTCTTCTTTACGCCTGTCAGGGTCGTCTTTTACTTGAGGATGATTCGGTACCCATTCAAATCCCTTTAAATATGGTTCAGCAAGTTCATCGTCGGCCTAGTAAATTACATGTTAGTGGAGCCATAATATTTGAGGTATGTGAACGAGATGAAATAAATAGACTCCAAGGTATAACCATCGTATATTATAAAATTCAGAAGTACCCACCCTCTTCTTATTGTGCTTATATATTGCATCCAATGCATCTTTAATTGTAACCCCGTGCTTGTTGTTCCGCGCCGTTACAACAACCCCGGTATCAAAGCGAAGGTCGATAGCCCTTACAAGGGGCGTTATTAATGGCTTCTTCAGGAGCTCCTTATCCTCAACAGTCGAAGGAGATGTATTGATCTTCCTATATAGAATCCTAATATTAGCTAATGAGACGTAGAGATATTATGATATCAGAAAGAACAAGGAAGTTCAATTGAAATGAGTCCAAAAGCTTACCATCCCGTGGCTTGGGATTCTATTGCCACTTCGATCTCTATTTGGTTTTCATCTGTTGTGATATTCTGTGTCAATTACTATCCAAACAATTGACAACAAACGCAGATAGGGTTACATACTCAACTCTTTCATGCTCTGTATTCCAGCTGCACTTGAGCTGGTCCTACGGTGGGAAATCTTCTCCTTCGGGGGAGATTCGGAGAGACCCTGGACGGCTGAGTCTACTCTGGTGAGAGGTTCCGCCATAGTGAATTTATGAGCTGATTGGTGTATGAGGATAGGATTAGAGCTTGCAATATCCTAGCTATTATAAACCAATGGTTATTAGTATTGGATGCATAACAATAGTATTATTAGTGAGACAATAGACCATGGATGAGCTTACCTTAGCTAGTGGTGTTGACGATAGCAATATCTATAAGAATAGCAATGTCTGGAGAGCCAATGTCTGTGAGACGAGAGAGAAAGAGTAGAAGGAGGAGAAAGAGGAGGGGAACGAAGAGCAATTTGAAGGGAGGGTAAAAAGGGGTTTGGAGAGGAGGGAGAGGGGTTCTCCTGTCCCGTAATGTACGAGGAACCATGATGGATCGGCAACCAGCTGATCAAGTTCCTGCTGCTAAATTTCGTAATGATTGGGCGGGGTTGAACTACAGTAAGGTGTTGTCGAGACACTGGTGGTGTGCTCATCGCGTGACCTTGAGCTATGGTTCGCTGAGCTCCGCCGGTGAGCTGTAACATCATACTTACGCAAAGGGGTATAGTGCTAAAGATTTATTAGTGTAGAGGTTCAAAACCTGGGGTAAAATCCGGGGCGGGTGGATAAACTCCACTGTCTTGCATACATAAGATCCAATTATCATATATGTAGGTATGTACGTACATAGCCTAGACCAAAGATCCTTCTCTCAACTATTCGAATACTCCAAATCTTATATTTATGTTATTACCATCCTGTCATGATAGAGAACATCAATATAACTACCTAATACAAGATATAGACTTGTCTGCAAGGGGGATATTAAGCGTGGTTGTTTACATGTTGTAATTGATTACTGAAGTTGCCAAGTCTTACCTGTGATGTTACCCCTAATGCCTTTCGTAATGCACGACATGAGTCGTTAATTAACTCCAAAACCCCAATCGTTTCCATATTCTTTTCCACCACGGCATTACTAGCCTCCCTAGCTGCCTACTTAGGTACTGTGCAAGTTAAGGATACAAATTTTATTCATGCAGCGGCCGATGCATCCGGCACAGCCAGCACAGCCAAGTTCCCCTCAGCCTAGGTCGGCAATGCTGGAGATCAAGCTTACTTGGTTGGCCATGTCACCGTCTTGGGCTCTCAATAATTATAAAAGAGAATAGAGCGAGAAATTCGAAATTAAAATTGCGGTTAGACTTCGTTTTACTAGGTATTGAAGGAACGAGAGCATAGGTGATTAGTATCTCGTATCGCAGTAATTTAAGAGGTACTTACGAGAACCCCTTTGTACCACGGTTGGCTTCACGTATTAACTACCTATGTAATTCAAACATGCAATACCAGCGCCCCCGACAAGTTACAATAAATGATATTTCTAAATAAATACTCTAGATTGTAGAAAATAATATATATTTTCTGACAATTGCAATAACGGTTCAAGGGCAATTTATAGTTTACTTAACAATTGAAATTGTATATGTTACCCAGGTAATTAGACAGACGCTGTAAGGCTTAATTGTTTATGGCGGAAGCCCCGCGACTTGCTGCTGCGTTCGAGGCGTAGTGCATGAAATCCAAATAAAAGACTGCGGTAAATTGAATTAGTAAAAGCAAGTGGCAATACTTCTAGCAACTCTACGAGCATAGGATACCTCAGGTACCTACGTAGTAAGTCGCTAATAGAGCAAGGGACATAATGAAAATCCCAAGTATATTCCGAGTTGAGTTTATAGTTTCACCACGATCCTCGCTACGTTATTGGATGGCCTTAATCCGTCAAATGAGTTTGTTGAAAACAAAAGGGCACATGAAAAAATAGTACTATACGTAAGAAGGATGTCATATGGGGGATATGTAGGTACCTTAGGAGGTAGGTATGTTAAGTACCTATTCAACTACGGCGACAAATTTCATGTTCCAAATTCCCGTCATCCCCTCGGCTCTCTTACTCAATACGCCTACTATTCCAATCATGCAGACTTCCCGCCGCCCTGACACGAAGCATATCTCCTACTTCTGTCCCTGTCCCGAGCCGGCTACTCCTTTAACAGTATTGTCTAAGGTACCCGTGACACTTTTGCTAACGTTTCCAACTCCCTCAGTTGCCGAGCCGGCCGTATTACCGACCCCCTTGGCCGTCTGATTGAGGGCATTTCCGGTGCCTTCCGTCGTCTTGCCAACCGCTCCACTAAGGCCTCCGAGAAGCCCTCCCTGGCCCTTAGCCTTATCGCCGCCCGTGACGATGTTTTCGACGCCCTCAGTTACGCTACCGAGGAGCCCGCCGCCTCCGCCTCCGCTCTGGTCTTGGTTACCTGTATTATCGGTCATGATGGAATATCTTAGGTATGTGTTTGCGAATATCTTGTTTAATGTCTCTGTGAGTATGAATAGTTTAACGAGGAGTTCCTAAAGGAAGGTGGATAGGCAAGGTATAAGGAGATAAATTGTTCCTGTATTAGGAAGGGCAAGTTCAACCTTGGAAGTCTTGTGCCCTTTAAATTCCCTGGCGCTCACGCAAAGAAGGTTTGAACTTGGTGTTTTTATGACGTATTTTTATTGCTTCAACTGCGTGATATGAAGTCATGTAAGTAGTACGCGTAATTCGACTAAAATAAGAGGAATATCAACTAGTTTACGTTGACTTCCAATGTTATTACTGTAGTTGTTCCGAGCCATGTACGGATCATCAAAACAGACATCAAGCCCTTCTGAGTTTATGTAGACCCAATAGTGCTAAGTGAATATTCATAATTTCAGCGTATCTGAATCCTTCATCCTTGTCTGTTAGGTAAATTAAGTTCTCAGATCCCTATCTGTATACGTGTGCATGACAACCTACTAAAGTTTACTTCCTTGACATCAGCTAACACTACTACTCGGAGCGTGTATCTATTTCCGACTACTACCATTATCTTAACCTTTAGATCAGATATTTTATAACTTATTTGGACGAGGTCGGAGTTGGGTCCACCTTTGTATTTGGGTCTTGATGGGGCTCAGTTGACTTCGTAGGCTCTGAAGATAGCTGCACACCACTGTCGGCTCTCTGCCTCCCTACGTGAGGCACGATAGTGTCGTAGGGCTCTGAATTCTCCATAAATTTATCCGTATTTGACGCCGCTTGCTTTTGTTTCTTGCCAAACATCCCGACGGACGGTCTCGGGATACTCGGCATTTGGGGCATTTGAGTAGGGAGATATGATCTGAGACTAGACCCCGACGGGATTTGAGGCATCTCTGGCATCTTCGTCGGCACGTAAGACTTGACTCCGGTACCTGCCTGTTGCGCTATTTGCATAAGGTACCGCATGTATGTCCTTTTCTGTGCATCTTGATCTTCGCTTTCTGACGGAGCCTCGTCGTCTGGCAGTGGGACGATAGAAGCTGCCGCAGTGATATCTAATGGCGACGCGTCTGGAAGATTGCTATTATCTCCTTCGTCTTCTACCTCCTCCCGATCTGTGTCTGTGCCTTCAGCGATATAGTCTACCTTCGGGATCTCCTGGCCGTCTTTTGTTGTAGCCACAAGTTCCTCCACGGGCTCAGGAGGCGGAGGTGATGCGAATTGAGGATCATCGAATATGTCGGAGTCATCATTGAACCAGCGAATCACGAGGCTACTGGCCTCTTCCGTCATTTGCTCATACTCTTCGTTCTTATCTCTAATAAACATGCTCATATGTGCTTGTACCTCGTCTTCTGTCTTTTTGATGACTTGCCGCGAGAAGAGAGAACAAGCCAGATGATCCTTTGCTGGTATGGCACAGAATGTACGCTCGGGGACAAAGTAGCCGCCATTCCACATACCATTCTCCCCTAAGGATGTGTAAAAGTCATGGATACCGATACCCTTAAGCGCTACCATCCGTTCTAATCTTTGGCTTAGTTCTTGTTGCTTCATAAGCGTACCAACAAATGTAAAATGGTCTGAAAGATATTCGAAGGAGCGCCCAACATTTCCGCGGTTGATATATGCCAATCCCTGACTCAAAGTATCCATGCCCTGTTGATATCCTTCTTTGACGGATTCCTTACTGATGTTTCGCATGCTACGCATACCATTCAGAATCTGTTGGCGGTGTATATAAGCTGTGACACCCCCAGCAGCTATTGCACCAACAGTTCCTGTGCGTACTGCAACAAGTTGCCATCCCCTCCAGACCGACCGCGAAGACTTTGCAGATGGAAAATTCGTTGTCGTCTTTTTAAAGGCTGATCTCCCAAGAGCCGACGGGGCTGCTGAAAGAGCTGTCATGACATTAAAGACCGTGCTTACTTTCTGGTAGTTTGAAAACGCGCCATAAACGAACATTGAACGCGCAAGTCCATTAAACGGGGTGTCGAAGGTTAGAAGTCCTTGGATCAGCGGGAATAGTAATGACCCTTCTTTCATCTCGTCTAGGATTAAGAAAAGTGTATCCGAAGCAACGAAACCCCTAAACGTAGTATGAGCAATATTTCGCATACGTTGTGCATGGAATTATCTTACCCCATTGAATGCGCAACTAAGATCACCCCTACATCTCTATCATGCGGCGGCCATGGTGTCTCAGTGTGATCTTTTCTCACGTCCATTACTTGCTCCTTAAGCCTAATATTTCATGAGCGTCAACTATACGAGGCATATTCATCAAATAGACCTTACCATGATAGAAAGGACACACAGCATTGCCCTAGTTCTCCCTTCGTCTCATACTTTGGATACACTATAGACTCGACATTGTGATCAGGAAGCTTCTTGGATACCTGCTCCTGTAAATCGACCGGGAAGGTTCTAAATGTGTCATCGTCGCCCTAATAGAATAGTTAGGAAGCGTATTGTCATAAGATTTGTTTAATCCTACCTTGAATCCGTGAATGAAGCATAGGAGCAACGTCCGAGGCATTTTCTTCTAAGGATAATAGACCTTAATAAAAGTGAATAAAATGTACGGACAAGTTCATATAATGATACTGCGTCGGAGTTGCAAGGAAAGAGGCAATAGATTAATATGGATCTTCAGGGCGGGGGTCTTTAGGAACGAGGATCTTAGTCGTGATGGCCACTAGCTGTAGTCTGGGCGACATAGGTACAAGCTCGCGGCAGATGTCAACTGCGTAACCACTCCCTCCTAGGCTATCATACCCTCCATATAATTGTAAAACGTCATCAATAACGTCATAAACACTTTAACATCTCGATAAAATTCCTAGTCTCAATCCAATTGGGGATATAGTCATAGCGTCTCCTGACATGTGAGTCTGGGATTCAGTACGCAGGTACCTTATTCATGTCACTGGCAATGAGGGTATTCCCAATGACGAAGCTGGATAAATATTACACTGAAGGGGAGAGATAGTTTGAAATTAGTCTTTAGATATTTGGAATATTCTTGTTAGTAACCTAACTATGTCTTTTGATATACTCATTAGGTACTCATGAAAGGGGGGGCTTCATATGTACCTCCTTGCCCCGAATATTATTACAAAAAGGAGCACGACTTCCAAGAACATAGCCTAACTACCTAAGGTAGATTAGGTACCTATCCAGACCCATATCGCTGGAAACATAATTGACTATCTTTTCTTGCTCCCGGTAATGGGAGCCAACACTGAGCCCAACCCGAGGCCATCCAATACTTTAGTAAGACCAAGTCCCCCAAGTAAATTATTAACCAGACCGCCTAGTCCAAGTCCGTTGAGTAGCTTGCCTACGAGTCCCAAGACACCACTAAGAAGAAGGCCGACGGCCGCAATAATCTGGAAGAGTGGCTCAGATAGGAGTCCCCAGAGTGGGTTGATTGCTTTCTTGGCGTGTGGAAGGTTCTCTAGCTTGCGCTTGGCACCTTCAATGGTTTCGGTCACGGTGCCCGTGAGCTCCTTCAACAGATCCGCAAGTCGGTACTCTTCAGGGGTTGCCTCACGCGCGGCCGTCTTATGTTTAGCATTAGCCGAAATACGGCCGTCAGGATCGAGCCCCCGGATCACTCCGTTGGCTTCGGTTAGGATCTTGCCGCCTTCTTCGATCAGGGGGCGGACTTGTTTGACCAGCTCTTCTTCGTCACGTTCATCTTCGGGTTTGCGCTCTTCGGCGTCGATTCTCTGTATGTAGAATTAGCATCCTCAGTAATAGACATAAGAAGTCGATATAAACAGAAACTGTTCTAGACATACATCAACAATCATTTTGCAAATGGGCTTTATCTTGTCTATCGACTGCTCGATGCAGAAGGAAATTTTACCAGCAATCTTTTGGTCTTGCTCTAACTGCAAGCGGGCTTGTATTTCCTCTTCCGTTTCTTCGGGGAGTTCGGCGAGCAACGAACAGTGACCTAGAACTTTTCCTTTGCTGTCGATAACATCGCCATCGTCGTCGATCTTCTTACCTGCGCACTCGCTCAACAGGCCAGAAGTAAGTTTGCCCATAAGGTCACCATTCTCATCGACGATGTTGCCCTCGCGGTTAACCCTCCGACCTGACATAGGGTTGATGTCTTTGGGGATTGGCTCTTCTTCCCAACGCTCAGCGTGGCCTAATACGTTTCCGTTCTTGTCGCAGATATCGCCGTCATCATCAACCGTGCGTCCGAAGAGAATTCTAGGTTCACCAGAGACGAGTCGGCCAACAACGTCGCCACCAGATGTCACAATCTTGCCTTCCTTGTTGACAGTACAGCCGGGGAGCTCGGTAAAAGGGCCCTCTTTCATACCCTCACGTTCGGCTTCGGGGATTAGTTCACACTTCCCGATGATATCGCCTCCCTCGTTGCGGATGAAGCCGTTCTTATCGCACATCCTCCCAATTAAACGTTTGAGGTCACCCTCAATTACACGACCGTAAATATCGCCGTGATTGTCGACAGCATTACCGGCTTTATTGACGCGCTTACCAGCTAAGGCAGACGTATCAACTTCTGGTTCCGGCTCGGGTTCTTCTTGTTCCCATCGTTCCGCATGGCCCAGATGATTTCCTGCCTTGTCTAGGATATCACCATCGGCATCTACAGGTTTTCCCTTAAGTTTCTTGGGATCACCTTCAACCAGAATTCCAACTTGCTCGCCGTTGGACATAATTCGGCCTTGATCACCAACGATAGCATCGGGATAATCCTCAAAGGGCGTAGGCTCCTTTACTTCCTCGCGTTCGCTGTCAGGGATAGGTTCGGCCTTACCGACAACTTGCCCAGCATCGTTGAAGATCTCTCCGTTATCACCGACCTTCTTACCGACGAGGTGCTTAATAATACCCTGAACGACATGACCCCAAATCTGACCTTTGTCATCTACGACGTTACCTAGCTTGTTAACCTTCTTATCGCGGAGCATTGAGTAGTCGACGGGTTCCTCCTCAAGTTCTACAGGTTCCTCGGCTTCGACGCGCTGGGCCTGGCCGACGACATTGCCATTCTTGTCAAGGATGTCGCCGTCAGCATCCACCTTCTTCCCAATTAATCTTTGGAAATCATCACCAATAACCACACCCACTTGGCGACCATCAAAAATTACCTTGCCAAATTTATCGACAGTGGCGTCTGGGAAATCTTCGAATGGCGCAGCTTGATTGTGCACCTTTTCGGGGAGAACTTCAACCTCGCCGATAACGTTGCCTTGGTTGTCCCAAACCTTCCCAGTCTTATCGGGCGTCTTTCCGATCAGCTTGCTGATGTTTCCGCTTTTGACTTTACCGATTGGATTGCCATTATCATCTACAACGTTGCCGGCTTTATTGATCGTCATGCCTTCAAGGATGCTGATATCAGGTAGTTCGACCTGTTCCTCAGCCTGCAGCTTGGCAGCTTCGAGCGCCTCAAGCCGGTCTGCTGCCTCGGGGACTTTTTCCTTTATGCGTTCTATTATCGACCCCTCGGGAACAAAGTCAATTTTCCCAAGAATGGTTTCATTATCGCCAAGCAGGTTTCCCTTGCCGTCGACTCCTTTGATATCTTTACCGATTAAGTTCTCGACTTCTTGACCCTCCGTTAGCTTGCCGAGAATTTTGCCTTTCTGATCTGTAACTTGACCATTCTCGCCGATGTTAAAGGGTCCGTCGAACATGCCAATGACCTTGTCAGCGATAGACGGAGTGAATGATGGAATTTGTATTGGCGCAGCTTGTTGAGCCTGTTGTTTCAAGGCGTCAAGGCGAGGGGCAACCTCAGGAACTGCCTCCTTAACACGCTCGGCAATCGAGCCCTCGGGCGCGATATCAACTTTCCCAACAACATTACCACTATCAGCTAGGAGGTTTCCCTTATCGTCTATACCTGTGACATTCTTGCCGATTAAGTCTTGAAGATCTGAGCCGTCGGCTAACTTGCCGATGATCTTGTCATGTTGGTCAGTAACCTTGCCGCCGTCTGCGACTGTGAATGGACCTTCGAATAAAGCAATTACTTTATTAGCCACGGATGGTGAAAGCGGCGGGATATCAATAGGGATAAGCCCTTTCTGGGATATACCACTAGCCTCGGAGCCTGAGTCAAGATTTGAGCCGAGTTTGGAGACCACATCTTCGGCATCAACTGTTCCCTTTCCTTGAGCCTGTTCCACACCCTCGGTGGCGCCTTGAGCTGTTTCCTTAGCAACCTCAGCGATGTCGTCGGTAGTTGGCGCGTCAGCGTTTTTTACGGTATCACCTACAGCTCCCGAGGTGTCTTCAACCGTACCGCCAACAATGCCCGTAGCATCCTTTGACGTATTACCGGCAATATCCGTGGCTTCTTTGGCTCTAGTCATCTTCCCAGCAGTATCTGCAGTCCCCTTTTCTGTGTCGCCGATAGTTTCGGTAACATTCTTTGTAGCTTGACCCAGGCTCCCGGTAGCGATAGGGAGGGCACCGCCGTCACCGTCAGCTTGACTTAGTTGTTCTTCGTGAGTAACGGTATCCTTTGTAGGTTTGGTAGTGTAATTAAACTCGGACGGGACGTCACCCAAAGGCTCAGCTCTACCAACTATGCCGCCGTCCTCGCTTAGCACATCGCCCTCTTGCGTAACAATGAAGCCGGCAAATTTGTGCGGGTCGCCTTCGATTACTTTACCAACGGGGTTCCCGTCATCGTCGATCACTTCCCCTTTCTCGTTAATACGGCCTGCTGCCGGAACCATCTCGCCCTCGTTCTCCTCTGATGCATCGGGCATGGTTCTCGGTACTGAGGCTTGTGTTGCTGCTGCTTGGCTGTTTTTTCCTTCCCCAGGAATAGCCTCTGAAGCCTTGCCAAGCGGAATGTTTTGCGTTTCACCAAGTCCAGACATGGCGGCAGGGTGTATAACTGCTACTGGATTCTGGTCGGTGATGTTATACCGTGTTGTTGTAGGTACTACTGTCAAATTATGTTTCTCTTGTTGTGGTAGTTGGGATTTTGGGGTGTGATTGTAATAAGTAGTCATTAGATTCCGTATATCGAGTTTCTTGGAACATGAAAAAGCGAATTCAATATTTTATGAAGCATAACCACAACAAGATATAATAGGAGAACTCAGCCCCCAAAGCTAATATACTTACGTCACAGGTTTGGAGGACCTACCAACATCGCTTGAAACTTCCAGGAGATACGACAAGGTTCCCTTCCTCTTCTCCTCGCTTGAAGGCCCTTCGTACATTATGCTCGACGTCATGACAATGGATTTCAACCCCCGGGGCAGAGCCCTGAACGTCATCAGTAGGGAACACCTAGGCAACGAAGTCCCGGAGAAAACCTCGCGATGAGGTTGAGCCACTAATGGGGCTTCTTTCTGGTCCATCTCTTTGTCGATCTCGGGCGGGTGTGTGCCACAAACAAGCACAGGGTATTAAGTCTGTTTAAGTCTGTGGCTTGCTGCTTTGTCCGCACCAGCCGACACAGGGTATTGAGTGGTGGTTGCAACATATGGTTCCTTCGTAAGAGATCGAAAAATACAAAGTCGCCATTCGTTAAGGTTTACTAAAGTCTAGCATGAAAAACAGGATTGCTCTTCCTAGCTTTGGCTACAAGTACAGGGGCACCCTAAGGGGTATCATTTGCGAATCTCGATCGTAGTGAACTGCCAGCTACCTACCACACCCTCTATCCATCCCAACCGCATACGCGGCATGGATGATGGTGGCCCTCGTCTTAGCTACGGAAGCCACATTAACACTCCCCTATCACTTTTAAAGGTTAAGTGGCTGGGTCAGGTTAGGATAAGTCCAGTGCCGCTTGATTAATCCTGTATCATACTTTTAAGTAGATATTAAGCAGCACTGGATACTTCAAAGCTGAAAGTGGACTCACATGGTCATGTTGAACTAGATCCGGCTTTTCTATTTGCTAATCTGTACCAAAAGGGTGGCCAATCACCAACTCAAGTTCCGATGCGGGATGAGCACGGTGCTATTCGCCTCAACCTGTTTTTATTGCAGTTTAGCAAGCCACATTAGACATGGGTCGCCATCAGATAGACGTCATTAGCAGCGTAATGCAGTGGCGTATGCGTTCTCTCGGCCGATATGTCATCAAGAGTTAGATTGCTCACATCTCTTATACATGGTATATGCTTTCTGAAGACGGCTGGCTACCTAAGGTATCTATTAATTTCGTAAATATGTTGCTCGTATCGAGATTTTCAATTCTCTGATATGAAGCAAATATCACTACTCAGACGTACCAGTACCTGTACGGCAAAGGAAAATTCGAGATTATAAGCTCATTAACATTTACCACATGTTACGGGACCTTGTTTGATGCGCCATTGACCGTAATTAAAGACATACAACCCCAAATCATGAGATGTCCATGTGCCTATGAATCTTGTGACTGCCTTCCAAATGTCGTAGGGATGCGAATTGTAAGTTGAATACCGTCAGTCGTAGACTTCACATCTAGGAAGATGTCTGAAGGGCTTCCTCCTGTATGAGCATTGACTTTCGGCTTTTCCTCATCAGGTTTCCTATCCTCGGCCCGGGATTCGTTTGGCTTGGACCGTTTCATAAAAGGCGCTAAATTGACATTCTCCCCGGCCTTCTCATTGAAGCGACCGATTATGTTACCATTTGTGTCGAGGATATTGCCATCATGATCTATCTTCAACCCCCCGAGCACGTTTTCGGGGATATCAACAGGTGGCGGTGGGCTAGTGAAATTATCAGAAACGTATCCAATGACTTCTCCGCTTTCTCCGTAGACTTCGCCGTTGTCTGCAACCTTTCTACCTACCATAGCAGGGAGGTCTCCCGTCGCGTGGCCGAGTACCTTTCCTGACGCGTCTACAATGCTACCGACATCGTCGACAACACCGCCGCCAAGGCCATGTGCGAGGCGGAGTAGATCAGGAGGCGGCGCCATGTCAATGGGTGTAATCTTTGGGATCTTCGGAATAGGGGTAACATTAGAAGATGGAGAGTGCACGGAAGGGTCCAGGACTTCTTCTGGCGGATCTTGTAAATCGTCTGCACCTGGTAAACCTTGGACATCAGGCAGGTCATCGGGATCGCCGAGGCCAACGGATATATTATTTGCTTCCGGCTTTGCCTCTTCAGATGGGCTGCCAACAATCTTTTCAGGGCGAGGGAGTGGGATCTCAATTCTTCGTTCAATATGCGCCGGCTGGCCCATGTTATCTGCAACCCGCGTATCATCATCTAACACCCCCAAAGTGCTAGAAGCTGGATCTTGTTTAATGCTGTCCGTAGTACCATGAGCCGAAATACCTGGTTCGGGCTCTCCCCTCGATACCCTAATATGTGCTTCCTCTGAAAGAATACCCGTGTTAGGTTCGCCGATAGTATTAATTGGCGTAGCATCAGATACCAGCCCTTCCGGACTACTTATAACTCCTTCGGCCTCTTTAAAAACATCTGCAGGTCGATGATGATCCGGTATTTTGTTGATAATGTTATTTTCTTGACTTAGCTTCTCAGTATCAGATACCTTCGGCGAATGTTCGTCAATTATGTCATCGTCTTTACTTTCTCCCCCAGTTAAACTCGCAAAATCAGGTGTCTTGTTCGTTGTGTCGCTAGCTATTTTTTCGAGCATTTCTTTTGTTCGCTCGTTCGGAGAAACGATCAAAGCATCATCATTAGGCAATTGTTTCATCGACTCAGATACCGCATCAACTAAGTTGTCGCCGTGATCCCCCGTATTAGTGTTAGCTCTCGGTGTTCCAGCGCCATTACTAGCCACTTCTGTCTGGTCGTGCGAAGTCCTGCCAGCGAGCGCGGATACGAAGGTACTCATTTCTAAATTTCCCTGTTCGGCGAAATATCTAGCAACGTCTGTCGGTGAATTTGGGGCGTCTGTAGGATCCGAGGGTTCGGGGAGATCGTTACTCGAAGAACGGAGGATTTCTCGAGGCTTCCCGCCAATACTCTTAACAAGGTTATTCGCTTCGGACGAAGCGTCCTTTTCCCCTCTCAAATTATCTACAGTACTCGCTATAACCTCTGACGCGCCACTAAGCGCAGTCGTGCTTCGACTAACTGTCTCTGTCGGAGTCAGGACTTCCCGGGATTGAACGCTTGAGTGAGCGGATGTAGTTGGTCTTTGTTTTTTTGAGGGAGTTGACGTCTTCGTTTTACTCGAAGGCTTGAATAGTTTCCTAGGTGTCTGCGGATCCATCATGTCGGCCACAGCTAAGATAAGATTTCGAACGTGGTTGGCGTTGAGGAAGATAAATATGGCAATGTATACTACCAGGATGATATGACAGAAAAGGTCAAACCCGGACCCAGGCGGTAATATGGGCATTTACTCATGGATTACCAACAACCTAAATCGCGTGTCATGGATATGGAAAATACCAAATGCAGATGGAGGAGGAGTGATAGCGCGAAACTTTAAAGCGAATGTAGACCATACCACCATGGTACAGGGCTTGATAGTAAGGGACTTGATTCTACCAGACATCCTACTCAGTCTCACTTACGTCATAGGTAGCAGGGGAAGGTGAATCCCGCCCTAAGCAAGTCTTACAAGCCGACGAGGGGAGGAAGCCCTATCAAATCGCGATCCCCGTAACCCATCTGCACATACATATGTATGTACATAATGTATGCATAGACAAGTCGTCAGGGATTTAAGCAGACTCGTAAACTTGCTTAGCTGGCCTGCTACATGTGAAACATGTGGCTGCATACATAATATGTACGTGAAAGCTTTGTTAATAGAAAATGGGAAACCACTGTACTGTGGTGAGTTGTTAATAGTAAGTGAGAAAAGGAAAAGGTTAGAACTCTAACCCAAAATAATCAAACAGAAATTTTGGATAGGCGAGCACTAGCCCAAGCATGGCCATTAGGCTTGTGAGTTGGATAAAAACTCCCGCCCCCAAGTATCAGAGGTTGAGCTACCAGAAATGACCAGCCAGCAAAGTGCAAAACATAAGGGCTTGATGACCAGTAGAAAATAGCGAGAATAGATGTGATGTGATGCATATGTAGGTACCTAGGTAAGGAGGGTGGAGAGATTCGGAAGAATTAAAAAGTTGGAAAACTGGGAAATCCCAGGCAAGAAGAAAAACGACGACGAATCTAGAAATTCGCCCGTCAGGTGTGGCTTTCAACACGAAGTGACAGCCACATTCATTTGAGGTCCCCAACCCTTGTACATCCATATATGTCATGTAGGTAGGTTAGGGGTTAGGTACATCCTTCATTTCAAATTTATCTTTCGGCTTTTCACGTGAAGACTTCACAAAAGATTGTCGGAATGTCAAGACTAACAAGGCCAAATTATTAACTAGCATCTTATAACTGGTTACTTCTTTACCTATTAGAATAAAATATCATGATAATTACAGAATTGTATCGCTTATATAAACAATATTAATCTCTCTAACCCCTTAGCCCCTCAGCCCCTCTAAAGCACTTTTATCCTCAACGCCTACGAAGATCGAAGCGCAGCACCGTCTCCGTTTGCTATTGGCACGAGAGTTAAAATATACCATCATTATCGCATATTTAGAATGACGAAGGATTCGTTTCGTAACTCCATTTCCCCTGCGCATCTTACAGCCAGATGATGCAGGCTCATAACCCTTCCCTATTAGCGGCGAGTAAGGCTGTTAGTCAATTGTCTTCTGTTAAACTGAACTAAGTATCACTTTTGTAGAGTCAGTTCAGTGGGTATCCAACGTCTTTCAGGCAATCTCGGAGTATTCTAATGTAGTAGATATTCGGGTGTAAGAAAAGGGTTATCGTCACGTACAAGAGAGACAAGGTCAGGTCACCGTGGATCCGGGCCTTTAATGTCACTTCCACTTCAAGGTTGAGATCCAACCGCAACCTCAGCGGGTTCTTCCCACCATCTTGCTTCTGAGGCTGCGACTGTACTTGCTGCATTTGCTGCTGCTGTATCTGCTGTTGGGGCTGGTACTGTAGTGGCGGCTGACGTTGCCTACGAGGTGCCATCTGTTTTTCGTGATCGTTCTCCTTATCGTCATCCATCCACACCGGTTGATTACGGCGGCGGCGTCGTGATCGACTCGGCTTCTCCGACTCGGCGCGGGCGGGTTGCGGTTGAGGCTGTCTCTTCTTCTCAGGTTTGGCCTTGGGTTGGGCCTGAGGGTTCGCCTCCTCACCTTTCTCGTCGCCGTCCTCCTTTACTTTGTCGCCGCGTTGCCTCGCTTCATTTTCGTTATGTTGGTCACTATTCTGTTGAGATTGATCCTGACTGTTGTTCTGATCTTTCGCCGGTTGCTGTCCTTGTTCAACCTGAGAAGTTGACTGCTCTTGTTGCTCCTTCTGTCCCTCGCTTTCTTCGCGGGGCTGCTGGGATGTATTCTTGTCGTTAGATGACATGTTGTATTGATACACTACTAACACTTCAATCTATTTTAAATATTATAATCGGTATGAGATAAACCTAGGCTAAGCCAGCAATTTGTGGTAATTCCGTGTGTTTTATTTTCTAGATTAGAAATAGCACTTTGGGAAATACCTTGATCTATTCATACATACACTGCGGTAAAGTCTGGTAGCAGTGACGCAATGGGGACACTTGACTGAGTCGTATCCCCCCAATCGAGATTTAGCATTAATGACCCCTAGTCCGACTGGGCGGGCTTCCGGCTTCTAGCCCCTGTCCATTCTCTCCGCTTGCCAATTGCCAATCAACCCCCTCCCACACCAAATATAGAGTTTACATAGAGAAGCTCCCTATATTTGTGGCTGAGAATGTAACTGGTATATGTATTTCATCATCTGGATACATCCCAAGGCCTACACGACGAGGCTTAAAACCTGTTTCGTCACTCCACACGCTTCAGTGCTGCCAAAATTAGTCGCTACTCCAACAAGTATTCCCTCCTCTTCTGTTAGAATACGAGGGATCTTCTAAGTCTCGGTGGAGTTCATCGGTTGTACCTCTTAATCAATTGGTCATATGGCTCTTTCTACGCTCGGGTTACTCACGATCGGCGCCATCCCAACAGTCATTGGTGTCGCAGAAGCAATTGACGCCCAGAAGAAGCAGAACCAACAGGCGAAGGAAAGAATAAAATTCAAGTTAACGGCAAACTTTTCACACGATGACGTTGCGCTGCCGCAAGATGCTTCTGTAGTCTTCAAGAACAAGAAGGTAAGTTTAGTTGGATGAATGTAGCTACCAGAACCTATTTCGCTTCTTTAGTTTGCCGAACGGCTAATCCGTCTTCTAAACTCTTTGACAGCTCTATCTAAATCACCCGGCATGTCCAGTGGAGGGCTATCCGTTCAACGGCTTCTATTTTGGCTATCCCGGACCTGAAAATCATCAAGGTCTAGTAGCGCCCATAGCGGACGACCCGCCAATGCTTAACTGGATATATGCTGACAAGGACACGGGGCTATTACGTCACGGGTCAAGATCAGAGACTGTTGGCCACATTGTTGGGCCTTGGAGTTGGACAGAAGATGAGGAGTGGTTGACACTCGAGAACGGGCAGAATTTTGTGGCTGTTGAGAACGATGAAGGTTCGTGGAATATTCACTACGATAAAGAAGGAAATTTAGACGAGATCTTGGACCGCGATATAGTGGATATAAATTTGCATCGCGAGCTGCAGCTTGGAGTATCTAGTCGATATACGAGGGGTGACTAGCAAGTTGCTCGGCCGTTCGTAACTACATATTTGGTACTTTGAAATACTTGTCATTTGAGGAAACTTCCATGTTATACCTAATACCTACCTACCTGGGTACCTACCTAAGGCAATAATAATAGTAGAGCCATCATACCTACCCTATATCCGCACCCTATATCCGTACCCCCTGTCGGATGAGCTGACAATTGACTAATACCTACCTACTCTGTGGCTTGACGTCAACATCCAAGCCACTCAGATGCTACCACACCCCAACTACCCCCATATCAAGAAACAGGATGCTGCTAATGATGTTGCGACATTGCTGTTTAGTAAAGATAGATGTAGAACTTACGAATGCACGAAATCAGGGTTTCGACTCGGACAATGCATACCGGGGCAAGTTTCCCGATCTAGACCACCGGTGACGTGTTATTTCTGAATGACCTTGATGCGAAGGCAGTCAAGGCCAAGACATACATAATCTCTCTATATGTATCTGTGTCTTATGTAAATAGGTACTCAGGCCCAACCAAAAGAACAAACATACCTACATGTAGGTAGACAGTTTATTCCTCACCCTTCTCCTACCAAGAATCTATCTTTAATCTATACTTTCCATTCTTACAGCTTGATCCACCCAGATAGTTCAAAAGTATAATCGAAAATGTCGTCTCCTAGTCCTTTAGGAACAGGATCTAGGTCCCGCCAGGGTCGTCGTCGCAGCCGTAACCAATCCCGACGACAGGAGGCTACCGCGCCACAGCCAGAACCGCAGAATCAGCAATATTCAGATGAGGATGAAAGTGCCGAAGATGCCGAAGCTGCACCTCAACCACAACGACGACGGCGTCAACGCAATCAGCAGACGCAGCAGCAGCAGAGCAGAAGTCCGCTCGGTGGTATTGGCGGAGGTGGTGTTGGCGGCGTCGATCAGCTGCTCCCCGTCAAAAACGTCGGCGAAACGGCAAACAACCTGACGAACTCGGCTACCAGTACATTGGGCAACGTTGCTGGTGGTGCTCTCAGCCAAGGCGGCGGCGGCGGCGGCGGAGGAAAATCTGACACTCTACGTCTCAGACTTGATCTCAATCTTGAGATAGAGGTCACATTAAAAGCGAGGATCCATGGTGATCTGGAGTTAGCTTTGCTGTAAGTGGCCTATTTTCTTATTAACTACTCTCAAATTTACCATAGACACTTTCTATTAATCACTACTATCGATCGGATGCTCCGTTCTTGAATTTTCTAAACTCTTTCTATCACCGTTGCCAATAGTGTAGTCGGCGTGCACACTATGTGTTCCCGTCATATTTGACGTTCAGTTGTTCTGATACGTTTTCTAAGGGACACTGCTTGAGCATGACGAAAATGAAAACATTATTGTATTTTGGCTATTTGGATTTTTGAAGAAATAAAAACCGCTGCTTCACGCGAATGGAAGGCCCAAGATGATTCTATATGTACCTATACATACCTCCGATCATTTAAATGTTGACTCTAAATGTTTATCATGTATGCCAATCATGGCATTTGTCAACTACTTCTAGTAGAACTCGCTAATATTTTTAGTAACGGATAAAGAACAAGCTGATGGTACTATTCACCATTTTACACACATGACACATAATCTATATGGACTTTCGATTCAATTAGTACTCGAACCAGCATGGTATCATGAGAGGTTTCGTCATTTATATCTTGCAATATCGGATAGGATCTACCTTCTTTTAATTGGGTACTTTATTAATCATTGATATACGAACTGTATATAGGTAGGTAGCTATATATTAATTTCAAGTTCTATGGGACAATAACCAATTACCTACCTAACCTAAGTTTACCTAGTCGTCCCTTTTGGGGCCTAGGCTGTCAGTCCTCCAACACAGACGTGGGAAGTAGTTTGATAATATCCTACTTTAAAAATTATATATGTCGAATTTATATATTTCTATATTGCCAGCTCGAGAGCTGCAATTGTGTAGTAAATGGCAGTATAGAAAGCGTCTAATTGATTTTTCTTCGTTGCTTACTCTTAAGTCTGTAGAATTTCCAAGGACAACTCTCAAGACATATCTAGTCAATCTCTGACCTAGTTCCTAATATCTCATTAGGTATTCGTATCAGATATTCGGGAAGGGATTATATTAAATGTAGCATTACATATAACTGTTACCGCGATCTTACTGATCTCTACACCTTCTTGAAAGATACTAAGTGCTCGTCAGACATTAAAACTACCTAGGTAAGTAGACTATGCCGTCACTTGAGTTTCCCGAAATATACGAGGTCATGCTGTAAAATTATTTTGCTCGCTCTGACTATACGATATCATTAAAAGACGGCCGAAAGAGATCCTATCTAACCAAGAGCTATATGGGCCTGTTTATTGTAAGTCCACCTAGCCGGCTAAACAACATCTATTCTAGACCTCTACCCCCCCTTCTCCTCCTCGGAAATTTATCACATAGAAACCGGCCTATACGTTAAGGCTACCGATAATTAGGGTTAATATGGAGAATTTAGCCAAGAAATCTGGGGTAAGACAGCTCACTAAACATATTGAGGTTTCACTTGCGCCTATTTTCAGTAAGGCAATACACTAACACGCGCTTATCGGGCCGTACTTCACGCCCATGACCCCGAGTCAATATAGAGCTGCACGCTTCTGTCTGGGAACCTAGGGAGACGAGTGCATATACAACACACCTCTTCAGCCAGGCATCTGAAATTCAGACGCGCTTGCCCCAGCAATAAGCTATAGTCTAACCGCCTTTTACAGAGCCAAGCATTCTCCAATGTGACCAGGATGGTAGGTGAACTACCTATTTCAACAATTTATCGCGACAAAGACTAGATATTTGACGAAGGTCACTTGGACAGTTGTTTATTGTTAGCGCCTTGCGCTCATTTCCGCAATATCTGATGAACTGCGTGCGGGAAAAAGTGGTGATCGCTCTCCCTGGATCCGTCACACGTCGGCAAATACATCCTTGAGCGTATAAGGCATTGTTTAGGAGCGCTAATAAAAGCAAATAAGGAATAGTGTCATGCGGCAAAGCTTAGCCATGTGTCCGTACTGGGTCATTTATATAGCCCTAGATAGCTAATACTGATCGCAGACCTTGTCCTGCTATATATTAGAGTGGGTATATAGTAAGTTCTATTCGTAGCTAACGTGACCATCGACTAATCGTTTGGCCCAGTATCAAAAGATCAGCACCCTTGATATGACACTTGGCATTACCAGTTCGGAATGATGTGTATTTCTGCAATGTAGGGTTGAAGAGATCATAGTATACTATAATAATCCGTGTTTAAATCACATCCATGAGGAGTGGTGCTTTCAATATTATTTTCTTGACTACCGTAGCTATCTACTTACCTACCTACATATTACTACAAAAAGGTCCATCTACCCGTTAGCGGGCCCGTCTGTTCTCTGCTCAATAGTTTCTGCGAGCTACTCAGAAATCGGCAATACCTGGGGCGAACTAGCTGGTCCCTAGTCGAGAATTCTTAGATAACAACTTGGCTCCCTACTGAGAGCCTGGAGTGAACGGTGCCAGTTCGAGATGCATGGTAATGATTCAGTACCTTCTGGGTAGAGGCTTCTTTTCACTAGGGTGGTCTCGCGGTTTCAAAAGACATACAGTTCCAGATTACATTCATTCATAATACTGCCAATAAAAGGGGCACTCAGCCAATAGCCTTGGGGGAAATACTACATCCAATATTAACCTGTAAGTACCTGAACTTCTATATACAAACATGCCTTTTACATTTACCTAACAGCTATTAGGATATCACATTCTTATTCCACCACAGCGGAAACATATGGCTGCGATCTATTCTTATCCGTCACCAGACGTGGCAGCTGCGATGGAAGCATCTGCTGCCTGTGAAGTAAATATAATGGCCGGCATCATGGGTATCATGGGTCTCTGCTGGATCCTCCTAGCTGCTTTCTTCCTATACAACTTCTATGGACCACTAAAAATCGGCAATACGGAGGATTGCATAGACCTGCATGTAGTCAATGATGGAAGTGAGAAGAAGTGGTGGATCGATGACTACGATGTTGTATAGAGCAGGCATATATGGACTTTGAAGAAGCAAGTCTTCTGGGTCGCCGGTTGATACCGGGGGACTAATACAGCCATTTAGGTTACAGGCAGTTACGCATATATGAGACGGCGCCGGAAGGCTTTACCTGCCTGAGCCATACGTTCCGCGGTAATTGTAAAGAGCCAAATATCTATACTCACAGCATAATATTCACTCGGTATTAATTTCTCGAGAGTATGCTAGCAATACGATACAGTCACTTAGTACAGCACTTAATTGATATACTTTAAAATAACGCTTTGTCGGCGGCGTCGTTTCCAACGTCCGAATAACACAGACCTAAAGAAACTCTATTTTATTTAGAGTCTTGTAGTTCAGTATGCTGAACACAATCCATAACTCTCTCCTTTTACATCCCCACATATACGATGCTTGCTATGCGGGCCTTTATCCATAAACGTGTTCTTGGAAACCCAAGGCTAAAGTTCCGGGATGGAAAAAATTCGAGGACTTGGGATTGGCTAGTTCGGACCCCGATCTCCCGAAACTTGTTAATACAAATGAGAGATCTGCTCTACTACAAAGTTAGGAGCCAGGTCTGTGGAATTTGTATCTTTCGTTTTCGGAATCTTCGCAACCATGTTTATTCGTCAAGTGCTTCGCTTTGCTTTATCATTTGGCATTTGCCTTAATCTATCCCTAGCTAGTCCGCTTGACCTAGGCGAACTAGGTGTTCAAGCCGAACGCCGCGCAGACGCTGGATTAGTTGGATACCTTGGGGCTATCTTCCTTGGAGCAGATCCTTATGTATACTTCTACCTTAGCAACGGTAACGATCCGCTATCCTTCAAAGCGTTGAACGAAGGCCAACCTATTTTACGACCGACAAAGGGAACTGGTGGTGTTCGAGACCCGTATCTTGTCCAAGGCGGTGGTGCCGAAGCTGGCCGAAAATGGTACATTATTGGCACTGATCTTGATATTGGGAAGGTGATTATATTTTAAAAGCCTATATGTCGTCTATCACTAACAGCATTATAGACAACTTGGGATGCATCCCAGCGAACAGGCTCAAGGGGCATATTTGTTTGGGAGAGCACCGATCTCGTGAACTATGTCAATGAGCGGCTAGTAAATGTGGAAGACTCGACTGCTGGTATGGTGTGGGCTCCGGAGGCGATATGGGATGCTTCAAAAGGTTGGTAGTCCATTTGAAACTTATATGTAGGATAATACTGACGGACTTAGGCCAATATTTAGTCCACTGGGCTTCAAAATTTGTAGGTCTCATCGATTAAAATCATCAGATGCTCTTATTAATGGATTGTAGTATTCTGCCTCGGATAGCGGGCATACCGGTTCTCCATCCAATATACGAATCAGGTATGCTTACACAAGTGACTTCAAGACGTTTACGCAACCGCAAACGTACATCGATTATGCGCCGACAAACATTATCGACCTGGACATATTACCACTGGATACTGGAGGAAATAATTACTTACGGTTTATGAAAGATGAATCAGCTAAGACTGTATTTTTGGAATATTCTACCACGGGGCTTTTTGGAAGCTGGACCAGAGCTGGAGGAAGCAATGGTATAATCACATCCGGTGTCGAAGGCCCTGCCGCATACCGCGACAACAAAGACGATGCCAAGATCCACGTCCTCCTGGATTTCTACGGTGATGATGGCTATCGACCGTATGAGAGCACGGATCCAAAGGGAAACAAATGGACGGCAAGCAGTCGATCTGGATTTCCAAGCAACCTACGGCATGGGAGTATCCTCCCCATTAATCAAACTCTATACGATGCACTGAGCAATAAGTTCGGCTCGTAGTGGACATAGATTTAGTTAGTAGCACACCTCGGTATTGCTAGTTACACAACGATCGAATAGTAGTTTGAAAAATATATCTATAACAGGAGAATTCTTGAGAGTTCATGTTATAGCACACACGGTACCTTTACCCGGCTTTACCAACTAGGGTCAATGCGATAATCCGCCCATCGGCCTCTATCTGCCTCTTTAAATGTATCTATATTCCCTTCGATGCCACTGTCTCCCACTTTCCAAATGCCAGATTCAACTAAATGCGTCCAGGCATCGAATAGCATTTCTAACCTCTGAGCTCGCCACCACTCGCCTCCAAACGGTTTAAAGCCGTGCTGAAACAGATCCGCTACACTGTTTTGTTCTACTAGGTTCATATCGCTCTTCCTTGCGCCGTGCTCTTCACCAAGGACACGAAGGGGAAATGGAAGCAAGAGCCGGAAGCCCTCTTCGGCATTGTCTTCAGAGAAATGTTCTACAGATTCTGAGTAGAGTCCGGAGAGGATCGACTGACCATCTGAAGGCACGTCCTTGCTAAATGCCCGACAGAATGGATTAAACGAAACGTAGGGATTGGTAGATGTTAAACTCACGATCCGCTTCTCTACCGATGCGAAGATAAGGACAGGTGGAATGATGGTACCGTGCTCAGAGCTAATATTTATAGTGGTGTACCTCTGATTGGCTACAAATACGGTTGGGTTAAGGGGAATAGCTAAACCTGGAGCAATTCGGTCAAATCGTGGTCGGCGAACACTTGATAGGAATGAGCGAATGAAGCATGGATTCGGAACAGAGGCTTCATCTAGGTCAGTGTGACTAAGCAATGGCTCGTCAGAAATAGGTAAGAGTTTGTCAGGTGAGATACGGTATTCAATAGCTTTCGCGAGTCGTTCGAATGAGGCAATTGCACTAACTACTTGCATCGGACCGTAGGAATGCCAGATCCAGGGGCCATGCTTCTCGTTAGGTGCACTGTCTCGAGAAGCTGTAATCTTGCCTATTTGAACCATGTGCCACCAGTTGCTAAGTATCGTCTCGAGCGGATGCCACAGCTGACGATGTCTCTCAACTGGTTGGGTGAAGTTGATGTCCTCAATTCCGAGAGCCATGGTAGCACAATGGAGTTGTTGGTCGTATATTAGACCCATCGCATGACCTACCAAGCCCGGATTTGTGTTATATAAAACGAGAAAACGTCCGGGCTCGCTCATTGCATCGTAACGCAGAGTATCATGATTAGCAAACATAGATGCGGGCGGTGAGATGCCTTCAACCCAGAAGAAGAAGGGTGGCAGCTCCTCGGCTACTATGATGGATTCTAAAAAAGTCACGAGAGCAGGATCAAGTCGTGTCCTGATTTCGTTTGCTTGGTCCCCGTAGTGGTGGAAGAACGAGTGTCGTTCCAAGTCACTTATTTCGCGCCCTTCCGCTACCCAAGCATGTTCGACCAACTTGTTATGTAGCGCCGCGCATCTTGCAAAATCCAGAGTGTTATCAGTGCGTGCTGGACGAGTGTGCGTAACTAAGAGATCCTTCAGGCTTGTTTCCTCGTTCGTGATATGTTTGCGCGCGTATTTCGTGTACACTGGATGACTAATGAAGGCGATGGCGATTGATATTATGGCGACCAGTAAGAAGATATTCGGTATAAAGTATCTATCGAAGAAAGTTGAAGTCATAATCCCTCGTGAGATAAGCCAGTGGGTATCGCCCCAGAATAGCGTCAAAATAAGTGCCTACCAAGGGGAATACCTTCGTAAAAGGTTCTCTCGAGATATATCAAATGAAGTAGACTTTAAATTTCATTATAATATTGGTCATAAAAATGTGGTCGAAGATTTCGCTGAGTTAGGTGGATAAGAAAGTGAACGTTTTGGTATGTTAGTACTTACAAAACCGGCACTTTTTTTTGACGCTATTCTGCGCCCCTATGATATTGATGTTAGGTGTAGGTACCTTAAGTATGTACCTAGGTAAGTACCTAGGTTAGGTACCTATTTCTATGTACATGTGGTACCTAACCTGACATAGGTACATGTAGCAAGTACCTACCTAGGCTTTGTAGAATTCCCATACATAGGTACCTACCTACCTAGGTAGGTAGGTACGCTAGGCCCAAAGTTGGTGCCTAGATGATCGATTCCATCTCTTTGGAGTTGGAAGTCAAGTCATGAGTGCAGCTTTGAGAAAATTGTCTAATTGCCATAAGCGGTGGCGAACAAGCCATCACCTATGTTAATATTTTTACTTTGATAATTTTATTGTTGCTTTTAAAGACATGAGGGAAGTCAAGTCCTCGAGCTGGATATTCCGAATTAGTCCCCACATCAATAGGTATGTACCTACCTCTACACAAATCTACTAACCTTAAATAAGACTAGCTCAGGCTCAAGCAGCTGGGCAAAGTTTCCCCATTCTCTTGCGGCTTCAACAATTTTCACCAATCCCACCTGCAGAAAACCTATCGGGATCAAGTCACAAGCACCAATGTCCGGCTCGCTCGGCCGATCGTGCTTAACTGCGGTAGTCCGACTAGATGCCGAGACTTCCGGTAGAAACCGTCACTGGACGACAATATGTATGAGTGCTAAAAAAAAAAAAATTTAGTGTTCAGAGAATGTCTAATGTTAAGATTGTCGAGAATGTCAGAATGCCCCAGGCGATCCCCCCGGGGACAAAAGGGGCCAAAAGGTTTTTGGACCCTTGGACCCTTAAGACACCCCCCCGGCTTTCTTTTTATTAATTTGCTGTCACCCAAAGAACAAGAAGGAAAAGGAGAAAAAAAGAAAGCTTATTGTTAAAGTAACTAGGTTAGTCGAATGGAAAGTGGCCCCGCTGACATTTCTATTATTATCATTATTAACTTTATTAGTTATTATTGTTATTGTTAACGTTCAGCCTCCTTTTCCTTTCCTTTCTACTCCTTCACTTTGTGTCAGCATTTAGTAGAAAGCTTCGTCCTCACTACTTACTTACCTACCTACACAAGCTATCAACATGATATGACACTTCGAGTAGCTAGTCTTCTTTTTCTATCCATACCGCCCCTTTCCTGCCTTATTATTCCTCCCTACCGCTTCACCAAACGCCAATTATGCCGTGGGCGACAAATCCTCTCTTCAAGCCGACGGCGGAGCCCCCAGCTGATGTCGAAGCTGCCGTTACTAGCTCTATTCCTGATCCTGACACTGATACTGATCCCGATCTAAGTCCGCAACAGGATGCCGCGGGAAGTATAGATGATGGATTCAAAGAGCCGACGGAAAAGTTCACTGCTCATCAGATCTTCTACATTTTCATTCTTGATGGGTTAGGAGCCATGATTCTCTCCGGTGGTATCAACTTTGCAATTGCATATGGTATATTTTTTCATTTCAATCATATCTTCATTCTTAAGCCTCAACTATAGTATAGTCAAATCCCTAACAGAATGATAGCCATGTATGCAACCCAGGATATCGTAACAAGACCTATTCGGTTGTTCTTATTTCCGAATACCCTTGCTGGAGATGCGGCAGTCACCATCATTATTCAGTGTCTCATTACGTGGCACATAGAACTCTTCCTCGTAAACCGGGACCTAAGAAAAGGTGGTGTGCATCCGATCGGATTTATCCCTGAACCCAAGAACCGGTTCATGCGGTGGTTCATGTTCTTAGACCGTCCCAAAGAGACGCACGAAGTTAGAAGTGTCGTGCATTGGTTGAGCTTCTTTCGTTCTCAGATCCTGCGGGCTCTGCTGATTGCTGTGGCCTTCTTCCCTGTAATATGGGGGCCTAGCATTGGCTTCCTCGTTCTGGCGGGTAAATGGGAGGGCGATGACTGGTACTACGACAAAGTGTGGGCACCGCAGGTCTTTAAGCTCATTCAGGGAGGCGTGCTGGGACTGCTAACCACGCCGCCCATGGTGATGTTCTGGCTTACCAGGTGCGGATGGGCGTTGAAGAATAATGAAGAGCGTTATGGTGAACGATGAGCTTGACAGGCGGTGCTTATATCGCTTCAGGGGTAGGCATATACTAATAATGAATTACGGGGATCCTGATAGGATATCATATTCAAGTATAGTCTCGCATGAGAATTCAAGCCTGACTTTTAATAAGGGCTAAACGGGTAGGGCAACAGACGATGATTCTAATTTTCGGTCATGTACGGACTTAGTCACACGTTGGTTTCCCGCAGCCGTCTCAGCGACGGCCCCACCAAATAGTGATCGATCTTGAGTGTGTTCTTCCATGACTAATCCTCACTTGACCATCCGGTTACAGGGTTATAGATGTCATATTTATGAAAAGCTATTCCTATCAAGACCATGTAGATCCATTAGTACAACATAGCTCTAGCTATGAATTTTATCACACGTAATAATATAAAAGATAAAAGTAGGATTGGCAAGCGAGCATGTGAATTATGTGACAGGATGTGCACTTCATAGACAGCCAGCTCCCATACCCTAATTATTCAAGTGAAAAGGACAGTACACAAAATTTATGTTGGAGTGGGCATCGGCACTTCTGATGTAGTAAAGTCAGTAAGCGGTATTCCGCTTCCGGTTGGAAGAGGATGACTTAGTGTCACTGTCTCAATCCCGGAGATAAGAGTCGGACCCGGTATTTTGTATGTCGACACGCCATCATATATATCTAAATGCATGCTAGGGTCGTCGGGGTCATAGAGCTCCGGGCATATTGCCCACAAGATATACGAAGTACGATCCCTAATATATCTACGTCATTTGTTGACGTTTGATATGTACTGACTCTCACCAGTTGTCGGACAGGGGTAACGTTAGCTGTGACATCAATCGAGAACATGCTCGAACCATTGTTAAACATCTGATACGATTCCATCTCCCTATTAACACCAACCATGGACGACAGGACCAACATCTCGATTCTTTGTAAAAATAAAAATAAAAAGACAACTCACATTCCGCTTAATCCAACTAACAAATACGGCGTAGCTAAATATTTATATTAGACACCCGATCATTATTATTAGTAATTAAGGGTTTTCCGATAATAACTCCCTTAGGATACTGCGACGATAACATGCGAAAGGCCAGATCGGCTTCTAGAGCAGAAGTAAGTATCATATGGACATGCTTCTAAATGCAGTTTGCACTAACGGTCATGTTCAACCAACAGTTCCCTTGCCTGCAAGGCGACGAGAATAGCTGTAACAGACCCGCCACCCATAATGTCAAACCAAGCACTACTGTATCGAAGAAGCGTAAGTCGGATACAGTAGAATACCGTCAAAATATATCTGAAGTGGACAATAATGATCCTCGCCTTTATGAGATAGACGAGACGTGCAACGAGATCCGCCAGAAGATCAAAGACTTTAACCAAGGTGGAAATATGAACGTTGGGGACTTCCAGAAAGCAATAGGGGTATCTTCAGGTGCATATCAGCGGTTCATGAATCAGAGCGGAACCTACAAAGGCAAGGACTGCGATACATACCGTAAAGCCTTTACGTTATTCAAGAAGCGCGAGCTGCAGGGTCTCAAAGCGGTTCCGCCTAAGAGACCTAGGAAGAGCGAAAGTGAAGCTCTTGATGTCAGCGATATAAAGCTTTACGGCGAGGATACACAGAGTGTACCAGTGTATGATACGTGCGACGAGGTCCGCAAAAAGATCCGGGCTTTTCTACGGAAGCCTGACATCAGCCAGAGCGCCTTCTGCCGTGCTATAGCGAAGAGTTTCCCCGGAGAAAAACGGATTCAATCCAGGCAGCTTAACTGCTTCCTAGATAAGAAGGGGCCTATGTCTGGAAATACTAGTTCTGTGTTTTATGGCGCTTACGTGTTCTTCGAAAAGCTACGCATCAAACAGGGTAGGCCCAAGTCAGAGATGAGGCAGGAGATGGAGAAATTCCACCCCAACGGAGTGAATACCACCGATCTTCAACTGTGGTGGACATGTAGGGATGATAAGCGTCCCGTTTATGATGCCTACGGACGCATCCACTTCGTCAACCCCCGATCCTCGTTTATCCCTTTCCGTACCTAATGTATACAATATGATCAAGAATTAGTGGCACAATTACTAGCCAGAAGAGTGAATATCAGGTACCTATCTAAAGTACTTGCTTATATGCGTTTGTCAACTTAGCTTCAGTAGTCAGGTAGATTAGCACATATAGCTTGTGTTGAAGGGGGGTCAATTTCTACCTACCTACCAGGTACTAGGAGGTAAGTCAAACCACCCTTACTGGGGCCACCCTAGTGGGGGCCACCCATTTCCCATACAAAATCAACGATTTCGCATATTTGTATTTAATTAAAGA